CTTCAGACTCACAGTCTTTCTGCCTCAGCTTCCTAAGTGCTGGGATCACAGGAGTGAGCAATGGCACCTAAGCATAAAGATGGGAATTTGAAAACATTTATTTTATAAAGAAGGGAGGGTGAGGAAAAGAAAGGAGGGGAAGATGGTAGGAGAGGTGGGAAGGGGAGTGTCAAGGAAAAGACAAGCATCCCTCTTAGAAGTGTTAATGTCCTACAGAGTTTCAGAAGAAATGCCAAGCAGTATAATTCTTCTCATTTCACAAAAGCTGTGTTATTTATCCCCACCTTAGAATTGAGCAGACTGACGCCCAGTGATGCTAAGAGATTTGCCCAAAGTCACAGATGTGTTTATGAAATGGAGTTATGATTCTAACCTAGGTCTCTATCTTAGTGACTGTTCTATTGCTGTGAAGAGACAACATGACTAAGACCATTTATAAAAGAAAGAGTTAAATGGGGATCATGGTTCCAGAGGGTTAGAGTCCATGACTGTCATGGAGCAGCATGACAGCAGGCAGGGAGGCAGGCGCAGAGCTGGAGTAATCGCTGAGAGCTTACATCCCTATCCACAAGCACAAGGTAAGGGGCGGAGCTTCCAGTCACAAGCTCTTGGAACCTCAAAACCCACTCCCAGATAATGCATCTCCTCCAACAAGGCCACACCCACTAATCCTTCCAAAACAGTTCCTCCAATTGAGGACCAGGTAATCAAATACATGAGTTTATGGGGACCATTCTCACTCAAACCACCACACTCTCTGATTCCAGCTGTCTCTCCAATTGTGTGCATATTGTGTGCCCAGAAGGCAAATAAGCTGCATTCTGCTGGATGTGCATGCATTTCCTAATTGCTCAGTAACTATGCAAGAGCCCCAGCATCTGTGCCTTCATTATTTTGGAACCCAATCCTTTCACCACCAAGAACCTTCCAGTCCTTTTTCATAATCTTCCTCTTAGAGTTATGTTTTGGACAGTGGGATCTACCCAAATTTGCATCTTTGAAGGAATAGCTGACTCTTTCCTTAGTAGTCAATATGTCTTTTTAAATCTTATGTATCTATTAGGGTCCAGTAAGGAAAACAGGAAACACCCAAGGAGTGTCAAGCATAAACAGTCTGATGCAAGGATTTTGTTGAGCAGGGAGCTGGAGGGCTGAATGCACACTTAGGGGTCAGAGAGGTAAACAAGTAAAGAAAGTCATTGCCACGGCTAAAGAAGCCATGAAATGCTGCTGTCATAATCCACAAACATGACTCATGGTGGAAACCTGGATCTGGATGGAAGCTGCTCAATAGATATGACCAGGAAGGGCAGACTGTTCAGAAGTCAGTGCCCTGGGGACACAGGGCCACCCACGATGACTCAGCCCAAAACCAAGACACACCATGGCTTCTTCCCTTCAGTCACCTGCTAGTCTTCCTCTGGTGCCTTCCTCTGGCTGAGCCTTCTCAAAAGTCACTTGGAAAATGGTGTTGCCTTTGATAAAGAACAAAGTGAGAAAAGGCAGAGAGAGGCATTTAAAATAAACAAGAAAGTGCCCTACACAAGCCTGAGGGGGAAATGGATCCTAACTCTAGCCCTGGGTCAGATGTCCTTCAGCGGATGGTTTCTTGATTTTCCCAGGCCTCCTCTCCTCAAACAGGTGGTCAAAAATCACCAACCTCTCAAACTGCAAATCATTGCAGGCATTACAAAATCACCGCTGATCTCCAGAATTACTAAATGAAGTCACACCAGGTTCTTTATTTACTCACGCCACACCCAGAAAATGAACTGCGTTTCATCAAAGCCTATGATGCACATTACAAATCTATGCTTAACGCCTGTAAATTGGGATGATCTTGTAACAGCATGCTGTAATTGAGTTTGTTGCTGGGATGGTCAGTTTAATGGGTCAACTTGACCAGGCTATAGTCCCCCACTTTGCAACCATTAAAGCAGATGTTGCTGTGAAAATATATATATGTGTGTGTGTGTGTGTGTGTGTGTGTGTGTGTGTGTGTGTGTGATTAAAATACACAATTGATTGACTTTAAGTAGGGGGCATTTTCTTTTCTGTTATTACAGAGTGGGCAGATGTTGTTGGCGTGGCCGGCATGGTGCCAAGTCCACACCTGAGACTGTCTGTGGGCCTTCCAGCTTCAGCACAGTAGCCCAACATAGTAAAAGCTTCTTGGGCCCTCCATACCAATCCGATGATGCTAAACCATACTCCCTCCCCTGAGAAAGAGGACCCTGACATCTGACCTTCTCGTAATTCCAGGCTAGAAGGGCAAGCTTTATTTCTCTGTGCACTGCATGAGTCAGCATCTACCACCGTAACAATAGAAATAGTTCATAAGTTAAAAAAAAAACAACTTATTTTTGTCTCTTGATTTCAGAGGTTGAAACTCATGGTGGGTTGGCTCCATTGCTTCGAAGCCCATGGCAAGACAGCACATCATGTGGGAACATGTGGTAATAGCAAAGCTGTCACCTCATGAGAGCCAGAAATGGGAGGGTGAGGGAGGAGATGGGGGAGGGGAAAGGGAGAGGGGTAAGGGAAAGAAGCAAAGGGGAAAGGGGGAGAGGGAGAGAGAGAAAAGGTGAGAGAGGCAGAAAATGAGAAAGGAAGGGAGGGAGGAAAAGAGGGAGGGAGGGAGAAAGGGAAGAAAGGAGGGTAAGAACAAACCACTTTCCCCAGAAAAAGAGCCTGGGGTGGCATCATTACCAATGATACAATACATGGCTTGACTAGTTCCTTCCTTTTTTTGTTTACTTATTCTATGATCCTGCTTGTCCTCATCATATCCTAGGAAGGATAGAAAAGCAAATTTTTGTTTTGTTTTGTTTTTTGAGACAGGGTTTCTTCCAGTTTTTGGTGCCTGTCCTGGAACTAGCTCTTATAGACCAGTCTGGCCTCAAACTCACAGAGATCCGCCTGCCTCTGCCTCCCGAGTGCTGGGATTAAAGGCGTGCACCACCATCACTGAGCGAAAAGCAAATTTTTATGTGTCAACATAAGGCGATGTATGTCATGGGAAACATAACGTCGCTAATGCTTGCAGCTTCGTTTTGCAGACACAGAAAATGTTCTGTAGTCTTTCCAGGATTTCAGAAGAATCCGAAGAGTAGGAGACGAAGGCTGTCTGGACTTTGGGTCACAGGACACATGCTAAGCCCTGTAAGGAGATAAGCGGCACATACACACACCCACACACCCACGCTTGGCGATGCTAATGAAGATGGGGAGGTGGCAGGGTAGACCAGAAGCTACCTGGAGCACAGAAAAGCTGTACTCACATCATAGACCTAGTAAGCAGGTCAGAGACCCAGCCATGCTGACTGATAGATAAACCTCATTCATACTTTTAATGATGTACCACCATGTGTTAATTATATGCAATAATGGGTCTCATTATGACATTTTATACATTTATAGTGTATTTGTATTTTGATCATACCAGCATCCCCATAACCCTTCATTCACTCCCCCATTCTGGCTGACCTTCATCATCCCAATCAATCATACACATTCTAAAATTATTGTTATTTATTTTAGTTTATATCATAGCCATACAGGCTTTGAACTGCCATTTAAATCCAGGATAGATGTCACTTGCTTGTGTTCCTGAGGGCCATGCTGTGACACACACAGGCCTGTGCGGCAGGGGTTTTCCTCTGGTCCACACAGATTACATACAGTTCCTGGGGCTACTGCATTGCTCAGCCCCACAAGGCAGTTTAATTGACTTCCTTACCAACTGGGTAGAGTGGTATTTCACCCGTGTTCTCTACAGTCTATTTTATTGCTAACTGGTCTAAGAACAGAAGGGGAAAGTGTCTTAGGCTTCTTGTTGTTGTTTGCTTGCTTGCTTGTTTTGCTGTTATTGGGGTTTTGTTGTTCTTTGGTGTATGTTCCTGAGAGTGTAGTTTTCTAAAAGGGAGGTGCAGGCAGGTTATTGGTGGACTTGTGAGGTCAGAGGAGCCAGATTACCCCAGGAGCCTGCAAGAGACATCAAGATAAATTATTATGGTTTGATTTACAACTTCTCAACTCTATAACAGTGTCTAAAACAATATGTATTGAGTAGAACCATGCTTCAGACGTTTGATTTTGATCTTTCCCCCGGTACCCTCTTTCTCTGGTTTGGGCTGAGGGTGAACCCCAGCACAAGGGTAACAGCGAAGACTGGCAGGGGCGTCCACTCTCTTCACCCTGCAACACTGTGGTGTTGTCCACAAAGTCACCGCAACTGAGCTGCAAAAATTCTCATGATGTTTTTAGCAGGTCTATGGTTTTGTGTTGGGCTCTGTTTGACAGTGTCCTGGGCCATTATCTGCCATCTCTGGTGCACAAGCTGTATGGATGCATAGAAGGTTCGCAGGTGCTAGATTCTTCTAAAACACATTTTGAAAAACAATTGGTGAGGTTTTACCACTGGGGGAAAAACAATTCTTAGTACTCCCTTCCTTACATAACTGCACTTTACTTGGCCACTTGTCATTTTGAAACTTCCTTGTGGCTTTTCAGTTCAGTCTCACTACTCACCGGGAAGTAACTGCAATATGAGCTGGAGAGCCTAGCATTTAGAAGCTCCCGGCAAACACTTACTCTTTGGGTATTTGTATTTGGTGCTAGATGGCACAGTTTCCTCCTATAAGGTGTTTAGAGCCTCGAAGGTCAACTGACACTTTGAAAGAAATTGAATTGCACAGGTAAGCGGGAAGCCACCAGAGAAGGGGAGCATGGTCCTGTGTGGCTTACATTCCAGAGAGAACGGTGGCATTCCCGACGAGCCTGTGAGTCAAATTAAGGACAGTAGGACAAGTATCCCAGAGGAACCAGTTGTTGGAGGAGGATAACCCATCATATGCCAAGCACGGAGGACATACAATGTACACAAAGAGAAGGCCATGCAAAGAGGCTCAGATGCTGTCACCTAGGCACTTGGCCACCATAAAACAGGAAGCTGTGACACTAGATCTGTGCCTAAGGCAGAATAATGCGGCCGTATTGCTCAAGAGAGCAAACGTAGACCTTGTCAATAATCTGATGCGATCTGAAAGATGACACTTTATTTACTTATCTTGCTCAGGGCTTAATTCTGAAATTCCACACAAATTAAACTGTGAGTGAAGCATAGTTTATGGCCACAGGTGTGTAAGCATAGGAAGCAGAAAGGTCTCCTCGCTCCTTCCAGTGGCCCTGTTGGCCTTTAACGATCCACACCCCACGCTGATTCTCCCCAAATCAGTTGCTCCCACAAACTGAGCAGTTGAGAAACAGGCAGCTCATCGTCACGATCTTCTCAGAGACACGTCTGGAAAGCACTGTCCGTCATCCTTGGCCTCACGAGCAGAAAGGTAGGAAATCTGTCCTTAACGAAATGCATGTGTGGAATCTTTGGATCTGAGCAACTGAAAGTTACCTATTGTTTATTCCAAGTATTTTATAACCATGGGCTGCTGGGGAAGGAAGTGAAATCGCTGTTTGTTAGAAACTGCGTTGTGGGTAGAGACTGGGCCGGAGATGAAGATCTACATGCCAGCATGCATGCTCATCGAGCCACACTTGCTCTGTCTTTGTCCACAAAGCTGACAAAAGGGGACAAGGAGAGAGACTTGGACACTGGCTTGAAAGGGAACTTTTGGGAGTGGGGAAGGTAAGTACCAGGAGGCCACAGTTTTCCTAGATCATGGGTGACTTGGTGTGTATATATGTGGATGTGTGGATGTGTGTGCATGTGAATATGTATTATGTAAATTGTGTTTCTGTGTGGGTGGGTATATGTGTATATCTCTGTGTGTGTGTGTGTGTGTGTGTGTGTGTGTGTGTGTGTTGTCTCAGGCAAACAGGTAGCTCCGTTGCATTACCCAGAATCACGTGACGTGATCACAAAGGAGTTAAAACCAACACAAAGTCTTGATGTGATAAACGTTCAGAGATGAGAGTGTAATTTGGCTAAAGAGGGAACATGGAATGGAAGGTGAGAGGAACCAGGACCCCAGAGCAACTTCCGACAGCAAGTAGATACACTGCAAGGGAGAGGAACATTTCAGGTGGAATGAAGTGACCTGGATCTACATTCTAATCTGCCCTATAGTCAGAGTTCTCCATGGCCCTCCACACACAACTGCAATACATGTCTCTGACCAAGGTGGCTTTAGCTTTGCAGAGCATCCACAGAGGAAGAGGGCCCCAGGGTCCCTCAGGTTGCTTCTTTAGTGGAGGGTCTACAGTTTGAAACTCAGAGAAGCATGTGGAGGTGACCCAGACAGCCTCACCAGTCACTGGTTAGAGCAAGACGGCCTGAGCATGGGATGGCCTGTCGGATGCTTTCCCCCACCACTGAGCCTGCTGGCGTCTGAATTGGCCTTCTCCTTGTTCTATAAGGGTTTCCTCCAGCTCTGCTTTGAAGTTGGTCATTCCCTCCATGAAGGAGCCACTGCGTGCAGCCGTTCACCTCCTTACCATCACTCATCCTTACAGTCAAGTGCTTACATTTCTCTCTGCTGTCACAGAACCCAGTTCTTTAGAGAATCGTTGGAAGGCTGGGTTCTACACAGTCTATCTGGGAGGCAGAGGCAAGCAGATCTCTGTAAGTTCAAGACCAGCCTGATCCACATATGGAGTTCCAGGACGGCCAGGACCTATAGAGAGAAACCGTGTCTCAACAAAATGGGGGAGGATGGAGATAGTCTCATTAATTTATATCCAAGCCACACAGAATTCCTAACCCTGCAGTAAATTAGCCCTTCAACCTGCTGTGTTATGAAGCCTGTTCTTGTCTGTGTGGTATCAGTCCCCTAAGACCACAAGTACATGGAAGTATGACCCCCACGCAGCTCACACTGCTCTCGTCTGTCGTGGGAGCTGCTTGTCCATTTTTCCAGCCAAACGACCTGTTCTAAATATGAATTACTCCTTTAACTAATGGACACAACCCGCAGAGGCCTCTTACCAAACCTAGATCTGTCATGCCTCCCCTCAGAGCGGCGTGAGAAAAGAACAAGGCCGGGACTTTGTTCCACCTCCTCATCAGAGGTCAGTGACAAATTATAACAGGGACAGCGGCCTCAGCTAAGCCAGACATACTGCCTAAGCCCACAGAGGGACCATTTTGTCTAACTGGCTGTGAACTGAGGAACAGTAAGGATGGGGCCCGGAGAGGAGAGCACAGATGTGAATGTGTGCATACTGCCACACACATACAAGCAAATACAGGCGACGACAGATTCCGTAAATCAGCCCTAAGGTCAGGCTCCTTCAGTGGGTCCAAAGTTGTAACTAGAAAAGCCAACAATAAATAGAAGCTCTGGGAGTTCCACAGGAGAACTAACAATAGTTACGTCTTGTTAAAAGTGGTACCTAGGGGCCCTGGAGAATTTATGAAGAAAGGAAGAATAGGTCACAACCAGCTCCCCAGCACCAGCATGCTCATGCACACACATGTGCCCCTAACCTTATGTTATTAGTATGTGTCTTTAGTACAGGCGATGGTGTCTTCTCTTTCTCACCTCACACCCACCTTAGGCCTCGGGTCAGACTCTGAGGCTGTGACAGAACACCCGGGACCTACCTTTGCCAAGATTGGTCTGGGTACAAACAACCCATCCCCAAATAATTTGGAAGTAGATGAGTGTAGAAAAGAGTCATACCGAGATCATTCCAGGAGCCCCTGTCTTTATTTCCTGATGTCTGAGTTCCCTTCTCAAGGCAGCTGACCTTCTCCCTAGGGCCCTCCCCACACATCCACCCGGCCTCACTGCTGGCTTTGAACCTGAGGCTTCTGGGACAGTATTTCTTCTCTGCTTTTATGCAAGGCAGAAGAATACTTTGACCTTTTCTCCCCACTCCTCAAAAAGAAAAGAAAAAGAAATCCTATTTTCGAAGAGCCAAGCATCATTTTCCAATTGACTTCTTTCCATATGGTCCCTGGCTACTTGTAGGCCGAATCGCTGGACTCACCAGACTACATCCTGGAATCTTTAGCCTGATGCAAATTGCCTTTCTGCTGTCTCTTTATTTGGCTCGTCCTGTAAGCTCTCTGGTCTGTTGGCTTAATGGGAACCGCGGAAACTGCTTAGCACTGGGGGTGCAGTGTCCTCACCCAGCCTGCAGGGCCCCCATCGTCTCCACTAAGCTTTATGCAAGCCCAGTATCTGTACCAGACACACTGGGAGAACGGGTGCCTCAAGGCACTTGAAGGATGTCATTGTCACAAATACCTGAGAAAATCAATGCAGGCAGAGAGAACCAAAGTTGGTTTGGGGCTCACACATTTCGAGTTGCAAAGGCAATTAGCCTCTTTGCCTTTGGGCCTGGGCAAAGAATCAAATCCTGCCAGTGAATGCATGGTAGAGCAAAGCCAGTTCCTGAGAGCCAGAAACTTACAGAGAAAGAAAGGGAACTGTGGTGTCACAATCCTGGCCGAGGACTTAAACTCTCATGGCAGACCTCACCTTGTGACATTTTCAGCATCTTCTGAGTGAGGACTCAGCCTTCCAGAAGCCTTGTTTTGCAACCCAAGCAGCAATAGGTGGGGCCCAGCCCCTGCTCGCACATTTTCAGTCTGCCACCGCCTGTGCTCAGAAGCCTCCTTGCAGTTAGCACTCGTGAGCAAGCCTCGTCTCTACTCCCCAGGAAATAAATGAGAATCTTGACAATTTAACAGGGGACAAATTATAGGGTGGGGAGACTGTTAGGGAGTGACATGGCTCATTTCAAAGCCTGCTTATAAGTCAAAGGCTAGCCTAGACTCAAGGAGCTGAGGGAGAACAGAGGTGTTGAAAAGGGTGTTTGATTCAGTGCCACTTTGGATGTCCAAAACTCTGAGCGCACTAACTGGGGGACCCAGCATCCATCAGCCTGTCGGGTCTTGAAGCACTAACTGAGGAAGGGCTGGCAGTCAGTGTTATTGCCTTGCTGAGAAAGAAATCCCTTTGAAGGCAGTGAAGACTGGGGCAGGCAGCAGGTCTCCACAGAAGTGTGGGCTGCAGACCCATCTGGGACCAGAGAAATGACGGGCTCCAGATGTGCGCAAGGAGTGCTTTCTCCTGGAAAAGAAACATCCAAGCGCATTACTTCTTCTCCGCTATGTAGCTCCCCTCTCCCCTAAAGGCAACAAACCCACCACGCGTTTGTCTGCTGTGCTACACTGGAGGGCAAAAGGAGGAGCTGCCGGCCTGATAAATGTTCAGGCTAAATTATGGTTTCCATAGCAACTCTTCTTGCTCCTTTCCTCTGGGGGGACCCTTATCTAGACTTTAAAAGAATTCCATTTGATTAAACTATGGTTGGAGCAAGATAAATCCACAGCAGGCAACATAGCTTCCTATCAACACAAAATCAGCATTGAAAGAGTGTCTGGCTCTGTTGTAAATCCATTAGAATAAGCTAATGGCTCCACTAACATGCTCAAAATAATACATGCTTGTCATAAATGTAATTAAATAATTCAGTGGAAAATTAAATGTTGAAACAATTACACATATGGCTTAAAGCATTATGAAAATATTATGGAAAAGAAAAATGGGAGCTGTATTAACAGTGCATGGGGATTTTCATGTCACTGACTTTTATTCTCATTCTTTCCTAATGAAAGGAAAAATAAAATGCTACTTATTAAGTGTCTTGTATGTGACAGCAAATACGTTCACATATATCATTCTATTTGGTTATCACAAAAAATTTTGTGAGTTCATGTTAACAATAAGGTGGCAGTAGCTAAAGCTTGGAGATGTTGGATACATTGCCCAAGACAGCTTGTCAATCATCGTTGAGTGGGTGTGCCAGTCAAGACTAGCCAGCTCCACAATCCCATGCCTTCTCCCCCCCCCTCTGCTTCTCACCTCTGTCTGCATCCCCCACTGCTTCTCTGTAGAGGCTATAACTACAGCCTACATTCTTGAACACTGCTCTCTCCCGACCAAGTCCTATAGCAGCCAAGGAGTGTGGAGTCTTCCTCCTGTCCACAAGACTAATTTCTACCTAACATTATAAGTGTAAAGAGTGAGAGATATAACATTAATAATTACAGAAAACAGGGGGCAGGTAATCCAGTTGAGAACTCGTACTCTCTCTTGCTCATGTTTGCTCGCTCACTCCACCCCTCCCCGCGCCACCAGGCCCCTGCCACCAAAATCTGACTATTAATATAAGTCCCCAGTGGTGAGAAGGTACTGGGAAGGCTGCCAACTGTAAGTGGGAGTGGGTGTGGGAAAATGCAAAGGAAGAAGGAAAGCTGCTTTAAAAAAAAAAAGCACTGGCCATCTGTAGTAAATTATAAATAAATTCCCTGGCTGCGAATATAATTTCTGCATCCAGGGCCCCTTAGGGGAGAACACCTCAGACACAATGTACGTAGAACCCAGAATGTCCAACCGGGGCACCGAGACTCTGGAGGCTGATGCTGCAGAGGCTGATGTGACCCTGCTGCAAACAGGGATAACATGATCTCCAGCGCAGCTTTAGTGCAGCTTCGGCCCAGAAAACAACCTGACATCCCAACAGTCCAAACTGTAGAGGCTTCCGGCAATGTCAAAGTTTTCCTCAACCCAGAGGCACGGTCACCAAAGAATACAGTCTGAGAAGTGAAGGGACGTTCCACACTGAGGAAGAGAGACCTTCTCATGAAAGACCTCACTGGCAGCACACCCCAGATGTGGCAGCACACCACCCCAGATGTGGCAGCACACCACCCTAGTCGTGGTTTTTGGCACAGTGGAAGTTGAGACCTCATGTGCCGCAACTCAGAAACACCTTTCCGGCACACTCCTTCCTCCAGTACCCTGATTCTACCTGAAAATCCCGTCTTTCCTCTATTTAGAATAAAACCTTCAGAGACCCCATGAAAAGGTACTGTACTGGCTAGCTTTATACCAACGCGATACAAGTTAGAATCATCTGAGAGGAGGGAACCTCAATTGAGAGAATGTGTCCCTAAAATAAGCTTTAGGCAAACCTGTAGGGCATTTTCTTCATTAGTGACCCATGGAGAAGGGTCCAGCCCATCATTAGTAGTGCTTCCCCTGGGCCGGTAGTTCTGGGTTCTATAAGAAAGCAGGTTGAGCAAGTCAGTGAGCAGTACCCTCCTTGGTCTCTGTGTCAGCTCCTGCCTTCAGGCTCCTGCCCTGTTTGAGTTCCTGTCCTGACTTCCTTCAATGGTGGACTACGGTGTGGAAGTGTAAACCATATCAGGTGAAGCCCAGCATGAGAGCAGATGCTACTCAATTCAGTTCTCATCACCAAGCAGCGCAGTGTCTGCCGCTTCCCAGCGCAGCTCGGAGAGGAGGCTATAAACTGAGTGGTGTTTCTCTTCCTTCCTCCTCTTGGGCACGCAGCTGTGTCTGGGAAAGAGGGCCGCAGGGAGAGTTCCACCAGTGCAGATAAAAAAGGGAGGGACTTCAGCCCGAATGCTTCATTTCTCCTCCCAGTCTTCCTCATAGACAAGGACTTCCCTGTCAGGTACCTCAGCACCGTGGCCTCAAGGACTGCAAAGTAGTCAGGAAATTAAATATGACTTCCCAAATGAAGTTTGCAGAGCCTGTTTATGTATCCAGCACAGCACAGGATTTGTTTTGACATTTCCACAACTTCTTGGTGATACTCTTGTTAAGTAAAGTGAGACTGTCCTATATTTTGTACTTCTGCAAGCTTCCACTATTTCTTGACATGCGCATAAAGAAACTCACAGACTTTCACGTGCCTTGGAGACTAAGATACCCATAGTATATAGCTGTGTTCCATCTTCCCCTGGCCTCTTCACATTCAAGGGTTTCCTGGCACCTTTATCTTGCTTTGTTTTGTTACAGCTTGTGCTGCTGTGGTAAAAAGAAGCATTACCAAAGCAACTTAGAGAAGGGTGAGTTTATTGGGGCTTCCAGTACATCTCCATGGAGGAATGCAGGCTTGGCAGCTGGAGCTGGAAGCCAAGAACTTACGTCTTGAACCACAAGCAGAAAGCAGAGAGTGAATGGGAATAGCACAGGGCTTTTGAAGCCTCAAAGCCCACCCCCAGTGACACACTTCCTCCAGCAAGGCCACACCTCCTAAACCTACCCAAACAGCACCACCGATTGAGGACCAAGTATTCAAATGTCTGACTACCTGGGACTTCTCTGTCAAATCACCACAAACTAAACGTCATAAAAGTCATGAATTAAATGACGAAGGGGGTGGGGTAATAGATGATACATCTCTATGTGCAAAGCATGACATTGTATGGGGTGGAGAACATGCTGGGAAGGAAGCCAGGGCATCTTCTAACTAGCCCCTCTGGCTTGAGTAGGTAGAATGTCTTGAAGACACTCATCCCCTGAAGGTCAGTGGCTTACGTCTTCCCAGGGAGGGGAGCTCTTTAAGGACTAGTCCAGAAGCCCACTGCTAAATTTGGAAGAATAATTAAAGGGCATTTTGCCATTTCTTCTGCTTCCTTCCTTCAGAACTCTTTCACATCTAAAGCATGTATCTAGAAAGAGCAGAAGATACTAGGGTCAAGTACATCTTACAAGAAAATCGGAGTGAGTGGCTGAGCAGATGTGGGGTGTGCCATGAAACACTGAACCACAGGCTGGAAAGGTTCCATCCTAGAAACCTACGTTTCTCTCCTCCCATCCCTCTTGTAGCTGTCACTCTTGATGCAAGTTGTGTTGACAATAGCTTTACCATGTGTGTGAGGGGGGAACTAGTTTATTAATGGCAGGGCTTGGGGAGCTTCACCCATACCAGGCATGGGTGTGGGAGTCACTGGATACACCCAGGGTGGGCTCTGGCCAGTAGAATGAGGTCCAATACACAGCACTGTCATCATGGTCCTGACCCCTCCTGTGCCCCTTTCTCCTAACAGAGGAAGAAGGGTACAGAGTTAGCTTTGGGAGAGATGAGTCTTCAATTGTGGTGAACTTTGAACTTGGTAGCTACAAATTTGGTAGCTTGCAAAAGCCAGACATGTTAAATGAACATAATATCCATATTAGTAAAAATGCCTTCAATTACAGGTATAAAATCCAGTTGAACCAGCTTTTCCACAAGGAGGATTTACAAGAAATTCGTCTTGGAAAGTTGAGAGTGGCTCCGGGTTAAGACAGTCCTGAAGAGTCTGCCCCTTTTCTCTGTGTCTTACTTTTGCCTTCCCTCTGCTGACTTCTTTCTTAGACTCCTCTTCCAATAGTGAAACAGGCTTCTGGAAACTTTAGACTCTCACTTTCTTCACAGCAAAGGAACCCAAAAGAAGAACCTTGCCCCATTCTGAACAGTCCCAGCTCAGGGCAGACTTCTTCAGTCTTCTGATCGCCTGCTCTCATTTGGACACAGGCCTCCTTCCCCTCCCTACCTGTTCACTGAAGCATCATCACGTTCAGTGCTGTGCCTCTTATCCTCTTGTGATTCTTCCACATAACAATGGATGAGTCCTTTACTGCTAACATTGACTGCACCCCGTACAATGATTGCCTCCCCCAAATAACTACAAGATGAGGACTGGAGAGAAAGCTCAGTCTGTAGAGTGCTTGTCTAACAAACACAATGACCTGAGTTCAAGAATCAGAATCAAAAAAAACAAAAGTGAGTCTTGGTGGCATGTCTCTGATGTGGGATTACCCTCTGTATGCTGTTAATATCATGGGTTAGTAAAGAAACTGCTTTGGACCTACAGCAAGGCAGAACTTAGGTAGGCGTGGAAAACTAAACTGAATGCTGGGAGAAAGAAGGGCGGAGTCAGAGAGAAGCCATGTAGCCCTGCCAGAGACAGACACCAGAACTTTACCCGGTAAGCCACAGCCACGCGGTGATACACAGATGAATAGAAATGGGTTAAATTAAGATATAAGAGTTAGCCAATAACAAGCTAGAGCGAATGGGCCAAGTGGTGATTTAATTAATAGAGTTTCTGTGTGATTATTTTAGGTCTAAACGGCCAGGAACTAACTAATGGCCTTCTAACAACAGACTTGGACAAGCTGGCTGAACCACATAGTGATCACTACATAGTGAACCTCAGGAATCACTACAGTCAGGTGCACAGGACACTTTAACAGTCCAGGTTTTGGGTCATGTGCAACCTTGGATCCAGATGTTGTGGCCAACTCATGAAAAGCTGGGGAGGCATGGTTTCCACAGAGATAGCAGGCAGGCAAAAGCTTACCCACCATGACAGTTAGATCTCAGGGCATGACAATTTGGCCTGGTGGCTGTAGGTTTTGGGAATTTACCACGACTCTTGTTCCTACTACATGGACAATGCTGCTATCCTGGGATAGGAATAATAATTTCAAATGAGAGCAAAAGAGACATTCGGGGAAAATTGTAGGTACCCAGGTCTTTTTCCCTTTTCTTCCTTGGCATTTCGCAGGGCTGTTTGACCTCTGGCCCCTGGAGAATCTGCACTGGCTTGAGGGTAGCTTAGAAAGAACAAGGCTGTTTTTGTTATGGTAATTTCACCTGTAAACAAGGTTGCAGCTGTGGGCCCTACATGCCTCCCAGGCCTGCCTCCCCCATAGCTGATCCTGCCTGAGGCTCTGGGAATGTATCAATCTATTCTACTGCTCCTGATGGGAGGGGGCCATGCCCTTTTGAACCCTCTTGCCTCCTGGTATATATACCCGACCTGAGTTTAATAAACAGCAGCTTTTTTACTCTCTGGCAAGCAAGCAGGTCTCTTGTGTCTTTGTCTGCTTAAACCCTTAGGACTGTCGTCCATTCTCGTGGCCCTGGTTCAGGAAAGCGCGCTCCTGGATTAGGCCTGGGTATCCACAGAAAAGTGCGGAAGCTAACAGAAAGTCTTCCTGCAGATCACTCTGACTCTGGACTTGGGTGGGACATGCCTAAGATGCATCTGACACCGGAGTTTCGACTCTTGGGTTAGCATGTGTGCCGGCCTATGTGTGTGCTGGCATTCATCATGGGTGTATAAGCAGCACTCTGAAACAGCCCCTGGCTCGGTTCACAGGGTTGTGAAATTTAACAAAGCAGATGAATATCTTGGAATCATTCGTACTCTTTGGTGGAGATGTGAAAGCATTAGCTAGGAACCTCCCTGGATGTTTATTTGCAGCCTCGCATCATACAAAGGACCAAGATTTCTGTAGGCTGCCACTGATGGAGCTGATGCTCAGGATTGTTTACAGAGTGTTCCAGGTATCGAATTGCTTGATACTGTTATTGCTGCTGCCTGCTCCTCCCCAGCTCCACCCTTTCCTCCTCCCCTGCTTTTTCTTCCTTCCCCTTCCCTTTCCTCTTCTCCTCCCCTTCCTCTTCTCCTTACCCTCTCCCTTATCCCTCTCCCCCTCCTCCACTTCCTCCTCCTCTTCTTCCTCTTCCTCCTTTCCCTCTCCCTCCTCCCTCTCTCCCTCCTCCACTTCCTCCTCCTCTTCTAGATCAAGGCTCGCTATGTTTCCCAGACTTGCATTACCATCCTTGGGGACACAGAGCATGTTTGCAAAGTCAGACCACCCCTGACCTAGTCTCATTCTGTTGCAATAGTAAAACCCTTTGGCCAAAAATAATTTGAGGAGGGGAAAATTTATTTGGCTTACACTTCCAGGTCACAGTCCGTCACTGAGTTAAGTCCGAACAGGAGTTGTGAAGGAAGACTGTTTGCTGTCTTGCTCACCAGTTTGAACTTAGCTAACTTTCTTATGCAGCCCAGGCAGAACCATCTGCCCAGGGATAATACCACCCACAGTAGCAATGGAACTTGCCATCTTTCTTCAGGGCTCAGGATCAGAATTTTAATGATCACACAGGGAAAATGTTCTCCCTCTAAGAAACCAACAGCCATATCCACCTCCTCTACAGAACAGTGAGGCTATGCCAAGGGCGAAGGATGCCACTTTGAGTCTATCAACTAGAGACAGACACCTCTCCAACTATTTGAAGGAAGATCATTAAGGCACAAAACGGAGGTTATGAAAGCAGGGTAAAGAGAAGACTCATGGGCATCGAGGAGACAAGTCTGTGCTGAGCAGAGGGAGATGCGGGGAGTCTTCAATGTTGAAACTCAGAGGTCTAAAGAAATATCACTGATACTTGGTCCTGGTATCCCCCAGCTTAAAGAAAGGGCTCCCTGTGCTAAAAAACCAGACCCTTGAGGAGTAGGTACTATACCTGAGTTGTCGGCCTTGTGATAATGCAGTGAGACTGGACCTACAAGCGTTACAAAAAACAGCCTGTATTCCGTGGGTGCAGCAGCCAGAAACTGCCTCCACCACAATTAAGAAGTTATTGGGAAATAGGAGTAAGAAACTTGGGTTCTTTGTTATTGCAGCAAAACCTAGCGTAATCTCAAACAGCTGGTGGTCATAGACGCCGGGAGATGGTCACTTCCAGGGGCAAGGATTAAACCTCCTGGGGGCTGGTACTGATTCATGACCTGCGTTTAAGTGAGTAAAACAGTTTGTTTTTTAGTTGCTACTGCTTCCTGATGCTCTTTGACCTCGCTTGTTCTGATTTTGCTACTCAATCCACCTGACTCCAGGATGGTCTTTCTTTCAATCACTAATTAAAAAAAAAACCCTTAACTTAAAAAGCCACACTCACTTCTCAAGAAGACCATTGAATTAAAAGTAGAAATTTGAGGAAGAGAAAACATATCAATATGTGTGATGTATATGAAATATCATCATGTAAACATATGTGTGACCACATATAAATATTTAAATATCTCTTCTTTATACTTCATATAGCAGAACATGTGTGCAGATATGTGTACGTTGTGGTTATATGCCTTGCATGTCCACCATTCTGGAGACTGACAACACAGAAAATCTTTTCACTTTTTCCCTCAAACAGCTAGCCAAGAAGACTGCCTCTGAGTAGACAGGAAGATGAGTTGCTACCTCTGCTACCTCAATGGCAGCCCCTGGGCTCCACGTAACTGATTGTGACGGCAGTGTGGGCTCAGGGTTCATAGGATTAATGGGGGCTCCTGACGGGGTGCTAGCCTGAATCACACCTACGGGTTGCCTATGGAGTCTGACTATGGCACCTCTGCTGATCTAAGCATTTCAAGAGCGGGTCCATCCCTGTCTGAGAAGCTACATTTGCCGTGGGCCACCCAAACACACAAAAGTGAGCAGGCATGGGGAGTTCCCTCTACACAGTCTCTTGGGGGTACCCAAAGAACATCACTGTGGAGGGTGGGAAGTGTGTATCAGTGTCACTCTCACGGGACTAGGGCTTTGCGGAATCCTATGATGGAAAGATTCAGGACACGGAAGTCAACCCGGGTGATGACATTCAAGGGTCTGCTGCAGTAAGAAATACACACCTGGACAATCCAAGTGTAAGACATAGCACACATATGCAGCCCATTCACTTACCTCACCATGCAACAGAACATACATTTGCAACTTAAGACACGATCAAAGTCAACAAGCAGAGAAGATCCCTGCAATAGCTCCTTAAAGCTTCTAAGACCATCCTCATAGCTAAATCCCAACTTACGTACCAACAAAAATTTCAGAATAATATAAACATGGTGGAGCTATGTGGATCCTGCTTACACATCTTGCCAGCACCTTCCCATACTGCCTTAATATATGAAGACCACTGTAGCACAAATAATAAAACCCCAGAGACAGATATTGGGGTTCAACCTGAAAACTAGAAAAGCAAAGCAGCCAAATCACTAGAGATGTCTTACTTCTACCAAGGCTAGGTGACAGCAGCCTAAGCAGACTGAGCAGAATGAGCAGACTAAAGAGACTAAGCAACCCAGAACCTCTCTCTCCTCCCATTTTATATCCCCTCTAGTGCTGGGATTAAAGGCATGACTCCCCAGTACTGGGACTAAAGGTGAGGCACCACCACCTCGATTTGTTTCTGCACTGATACTGTGTAGCCCAAGGTGGCCTTGAACTCACAGAGATCCATCTGCCTCTGTCTCCCAAATCCTGGAATTAAAGATGTGTGCCACCGCTGCCTGATCTCTAATGGCTTAGCTTTGCCCCTGGTCTTCATGCAAAATTTATTTAATATAATACAGATAATATACCACTATAGACCACAGCTGGACCTCTGTCCTTCTAGTTATTTCTAGATGTCTCTTGAGCATATTGAATTACATTGAAATTATGTTTTTAAAGAAATTGAACAATCTCTTATATTTAAAAAAAAAGCACTTTGCCATTCACATAGATCTGAGACATCCAAGCATCAAAGTTTCGTGCATATTATACTATAACTCCGTGGGAGGAAAAAGCCTGGGGAAAACATCTTCAGAAAGAGAGCCTTGGACCAATTCTTGCCTCATTTTAGTGCCCTTTCATGCCAAAGCTAGCATATTTTTACCAGATGCAGCAGAGCTCAGCAGCAAATATTAACTTCTCCTTTACAAAGTTTATATGGTCAGGAATTCATCACTAAGCACATCCAAGTGAAGTCAAAAGTGCGGACACTCATGGATCCACTCACTAAACACATCTCTACACATAAAGTGGTGATCCGTGGAAAAGTAAATACGATGATAGAAATGATAGCATGGAACAACATTCAAGCAAGGAGCAATATCCAAAGGGGCAGAAGAGACAACAGA